CGGGTAGTACAGCTAGTATTCTGATAAAAAAGTGTTAATATGTAACTAGATTTAGACCCTCATTTGGAACAACCCTGTGGGGTCTGAAACTAAACGGTGCATCAAAACACTAGCATGAATTACTGCAAACCTTCAATAGTACTGCTATGAAGACCACCCTCGAAAATTTGAAAGCTCAACCCCTCTCATAGAAGCAGTGGCATCACACCCTCTTCACCCTCACAAGAACGGATCATTAAAGCTTAAACGCACTCGCAAAACGAGAGTTTGTGGCCAGATGGTCCTCAGTCTTCCTGAATCCGGCATGAAGGTGCGCATGGTGGGAGGTCGGGGGGAGGGGACGAGCGTTCGAGGTATTACCCCACAGATAGACATGAGGTAAGGGGCCGTCCATAAATGACGTCACGCGATTTTGTACGATTTTTGACCCCCCCCCCTTCGTCACACGGCGTCACAAAAAGTCAGACCCCCCTCAAATATGACGTCACAAAGCTCTGCCCCCCGCCCAAATAAAACATGCTTCAAATCGCTTTAAACTATTGTCCTTGTAGTGCGTATTTAATGTGGCGCTGCACTCTGATGTTGTAGAAAACATTTATTAAAAATTCTACTTAATTAAGTAGAACGTGCTGTCTATTTAAAGTTGCGCATTTTTATGTGACGTCACATTTCTCACCCCCCCCCCTTCATCACACATCGTCACGAATGTCTAACCCCCCCCCACCCAGGTGCGTGACGTCATTTATGGACGGCCCCTAATCACACGGCGGGATTCATATCGACGATAATTCCACTTGGCGCGTGTCGATTGCTTTATTTGTTAGACCTTGTTTTGTACACTTCTCCCTCCCCCACTCTTTTCTTCCCCCTTATTTTTGCTCATTTTCCCTCCCTTCCCATTATGAAAAGTCCATGCTCCTGCTCGCAGTTCTTACGCAAGTGGGGTGGTGAACCCATTTTCTCTCCCTTTCCCCCCCAACCCGAGAGCAGCGGTTTATGCTTAAGCCCACGGGTATTGTGTCCCCTTCCGTTTGTATTGCTCGTGCTCTGTACCGGGCTCTTTTCAGAATAGAAACAACAATAAAAAAAGCTCAGAGCGCAAGTGAAGCCCAGTTAAAACTTTATGAGATTGCACTCCATCACCAGCTATGTGCGCTTGGCTTAATCAGTAATACTGTACACTTGGCATGTTGGATTCACCTAAAGTGCAGACTGTCATTGTGTACCGGTCTACAATATGGACTCCAGTGTAGTCTATATGGACTGTGTTTCCAGTATATAATGTGGATTGTCAGTAGAAAAATCTACATTGCGCCTTGTTAGTTTATAATCACTGTGGACTTCCAGAGTATACAGTCTATGATGTGGACTGTCTGTGCTCGCGCCAAGGGCCGGTCACGCGCTCCACACCAGGCGCACGCGCTCCACCAGCATCGCGGCACCGCTCAGAGGGTCCACGACGGCCTGCACGTGCACCACAGCCGAGGTCTGCGCGCCTCGCGAATCTGAAAAACACAGGCGTCTGTCTGTCAGCACGAGCGGCGGCGATGCCTTCTGTCATTGCACGTTGAGTCGTGTATGGGAATCGGCGGGCTGAAAACGCGAGCTTCTGTCAGCACTGGTGGGAAGACCTGTCAGCCAGCAGCATGCCTATGGGTGAGGTCTATGGCTCACAGAGACATCCCATTGATTCGCATAGACACCCATCAATTCACTCAGGACACAGACTCTCAGAGACCCTCAGACTAACATAGAGACCGAAATAGACTCCCACAGGAACCCAGACACTCACACAGCAACAAAAGCAGAAACAGAAGCCGGCCTAGTCGCAACAGCAAATAACAGAAGCAATAACTGCAACAACAATAGCAACAATAGCAACCTTGCGATGGCAACACTGCGACTTCTGCTGCTGTTGTCCAGCTGCTTCCGGCCGGGTCCTGAACTTGCGAGACTCTGGTTGAGCGAACCGAACGGTCTGGTCAAGCAATGCCTGTCCTCTTCTTTGGAGAAATGGGGGGGGCATACCAGTAATTTCCCTTGGCTTGGATCGACGAACCAATTGTATCTGACCCAAATGTTCGCCGATATTGTGGTGGGACTCACTAGCGGACTTGTCCCAGTATCCAATGGGAGTGCTGATCTGCCGACCTTCTGGTTCAACTGCTCGAGTTCCACACTGACCGTGCTACGATCCGCTGTGGAAATACCAAACCCCGAACCGACCTTGTTCGTCACTCGTTGCAATGCCTCGCACACTTTTGTGCTGCAGGTCTCATCAGTTCGACTCCTCTAGATTCACACGATCACGTAAGAGCACCTTCATCGCCATACTGCTGTCGGGCATGGATACATACCCTTGACCAGGGCTCAACTATGGATTGGTCAATGCACACTCTATGGTCAATAAGACAACGCGGATACACGATATGATCAACGATTGTCGACTAGAAATATTGGCCGTTACCGAAACCTGGATATGATGACTCACAAGACATAATTAAGCATGAGGCTGCACTTAACGGATAAGCTATTGCACATCAGCACCATTGCGAAAAGCCTGGCACCAGCAGCCCGCATTGTGGTGGGATAGCACTGATTCACTGTGAATACGTGTGAAAGTCCTGAGCCACTCAACAATCACGTCATTCGAGCTGCTGCTTGTGAAAACAACGAACAGGATGCGAGGGCTTATGCTCACTGTCATCTATTGACCACTGTCGGAATTCTTTTCCGAGCTTTCAGTTCTGCTAGGTTGTGGATCACTTGGGTCTCGCTGAATTTTCTGTGGTTGATCTGACCGATTGGTTATTGTGGTGATATCCACAGTGATTGCGCCAAGATTATCGACAGTCAGTTTAACCCAGCACGTCAGTGGAGTATCATGTCACTCTGATCATATCTATCATATCTGCCGATGCCATAACTTTGACCAAACGTTATTGAAGACGTGGGTATTTCACATCACAAGCTCGTGATGTGCAAAGCGCCATTACGGATTATATTATTTGACCGACCGTCACAATGATATCATACAGAGACTTGGAAAGGCCTGGGCAATGATGATTTCCATCCGTAGATCTACCATGATCGCCGTGTATAGATTCTGCATCGATGGTTGATTCATTTGCAGCTCACTTAGAAAATGACATCACTGCTATTCTTGATGATCAAGATGATAGTTTCTAACTTGAAGTCAACATTTCCAGGTCTGCCATCTGAGTTTAAATAACTTGGAACCAATGCACCAAGGTCGGTGGCAGGAGGTGACGATGTTCATCGCACGGCTGCCAAATAAGACATCACTGCTCGACAATGGTCACACATCGATTCAACTCATGATCAGACGTGCTTGCGCCACTGATTGTCTACCTGGCAAATATTTCATTCAGCAAGGACTGTATCTCAGTCTGGTTCAAAATAGCATAGGTAACACCGCTTCTGAAAAAAGTTGGCTTGAGCCTTGGTGACCCCACACACTATCGTCCGAGTATGATTTCAAAGGTAATACAACACATTTCTCTGAAGCGGTTACTTCCCCACGTCACTGCGACAGCCAGATTCAACCCGCTGAGACAGCTGTACTAAATACAGTATATCTGATGACCTCGACAAGATCGTAGATGACCAGTGTGCCGCAGCGTTGGTTGGCCTTGATCTCTCAGCTGCCTTCGATACCATCGACCATGGGATATGCTCATGGGACGGCTAATTTCAAGGTTCGGGTATGACATTGCGGTGGATTGAGTTATAGCTACATGGTCGATCACAGTTCGTCGAGCTGGGTGACGGAAAAGTCATCGCCTATGCAATGCCTAGTTGGGCCCTTCCAATTTTATCATTGCATGACATCCAGTGCCATTAATATTTTGATAATAGAAATGGTACACCACAGTCAAGTCAAAGTTAGATATAGAGAGCTTTGGTAACCTGGAATATTGTGCGCGAGGGATTCATGTATGTAAGTTCAACTTCTTTCACACCTTACATAGCGAACCGTGGTAATCGGATGTGTGGGTGCACGTGTGGTTTGCACCAAACGAAATGCAGTTTAATCCAGGAGCATCGGACGTTCTGCTGGTTGGCACTCGGGATCAGGTGAAAACATTTGTGGGAAAACATCAGGTGTGGCAATTTTAGACTCCAGGATTCAATTTTCTGCTGATCTAAAGAACCTCGGCATGATACTCGACCAGAATATAGTCAGGTCCTGAAATTTTCATATCAGGGCTCTACGGCACATTCGACCACTATTGAATCGTGACACAGCCAACACGGTGGCGTATAGCATAGTATTAACAAGTCTCGATTATTGTAACTCACTTCTCTACAAGACGTCTGGCGAAAAACATTACCAATCTGCAGCGTGTACAAGATTATTTGTTGCGACGAGTACTGCAAGATTTAATCATGTCCGTCCAGTGCTCGCTGAGCTGCATAGACTTCCGGTTGCCGAACGAATACATTAGCTTGCACTCTTTACACACAAAGTGCTTGCCACAAAATCTTGCGGATCTCGTAAAGGAGCATAAACCATCACGCAAACTCCGGTCATTCTTGCAGCGATTTTTGGCTAACCATCGAATAAAGACGGTCACTGCATCGTGTGCTTTCAGATGTACTTATGCGGCCGTCTGGAATTCCTCCTTTAAGTTTAGTTTGTTGTCCTTCCCACGCACCACCAATTAGCCAGGTTTGCTGCATACGGTGCGAAAGAAGTTAAACATACATATGTAATAAACCCCGTTGAGACAACGTCGGGAATTCAGAATTCTTTATTAAGTTTCGTCCACAGCTCTCACTACATCCGTTCCTCTACTCCTATTGCTCCTTCACGCTGTTGGCAGACAGCGTGAGAGGGGGAGAGAGAGACTGCCGCGGCCTGCCACGTGGCAGGCTCCGGACCACGGCACCAGCGTAGCTTCCCCCTTCGTTCCTCCGCACACTGACCACGTGCTGTCCTTCTCCGCCCCTTTTAATCCCTGGCCCACGTGATGCCCCGCAGCCAATCCTCAGCCACATCCCTGGAACTTTCCAGTAGCCACTGTACAGCTCCAGGGCCACGCCCCTAACTCGACTCCCCATTGGTTGCGGGCTGAAGCCAGCAGAGCCAATCATCATCCTCCAGGTGTAGCCTTCACATTACATCAGGGCCACGCCCCTGACTCGACTCCCCATTGGTTGTGGGCTGAGGCCGGCAGAGCCCATCCATTATCATCCAGGTGTAACCTCACATTACACATACATAGAGACAAATAGCCTCCCACAGAGACTCAGATACTCACACAGAGACCAAAAGCACCAAAGATAATGGCTGGCATGGAGGGATCGACCCCTTTCAGTGCTCAATGCAGTGACAATAAGAGCGTATCATGTGGCCACGCATTCCGCTTGTCGTTTTCTCTGGGTTTGACGCTGGCGGGGTCATAACGACACATGTGGTCACCCTGATCGGATTCTCAAAGGGGGTGGGGGGGAAGAGATGCTTCACAGCCTCTGAAAAAGACATCAGTAGGGGGGATGTTTGTATTGTGATCCCAAGAGACTGTATGCCCCCCTCACACTTAAAACAGAAAATACTCAATATGATTGTTATCAATGAACTAACTTTGATTGCAAATTAGGTTATTATAATTACTCTTATGCAGTCGTAATACTGTAATATTGTTGATTATTGAAGGATATGTATTACCTGTTACTCATTTCCCAAAACGTAGCCCAATTTAAATGTTTTCTGTTACAAAGGCCACACAGTGTTGCTATTGACACAGTACAAATGTTGAGTTGATTTTTCGTGACTGAGTAGGTGAGTTTGTGAGTGAGTGGATGAGTTTCCGTTTCCCACAGCTAAACCCACCCACAATGCACCAGGTAATCGCAAAAACAACATCCCCAATGCTGATAAATCCCATGCAAATTATTCAATTGGGATCGTGCCGGCCTTTATAGGTGCTGCTACTCACTAACAGCATTTTACCCAACAACCTGTTAGAGGCTATACGGCGAATAATTGTCATCGTACACAGTAATCGGTAGGCAGCAGTCTCCTCGTACAGTTTTACTTTGTGCGCCCGTTTCTGGTACCCATCTACCGCACAAAGCGAGGGAAACCTGTGTCTGCAGTCAACGTGATCTCCCTCCCCATCTTGGTCACGTGAATCGTTCTCAGAGTTCTTCTGGTTTTGCCCTCATCCAAATTAAGAAAACATTTGTTCAGATACTTTGGCTGCTGCTATAAATTCCCATGTGTTGATGATATCAGCCGCTGCTGCTGTTATGAGATATTATCACGTGTGACCACGTTGCTTAACAAGAGCTCATAGCTCACTGGGCTTTACCTGATAAATGTTTAGTTTATAGTGAAATTTTACATACCTCCACGATCTAACTCAAAATAAACGTAATAAAAATATTGGTCGTAAGAGCCTGCATATATAACACAGTTCCGCTGTTTGTGTCGGTTTAGCTATAAAAGGAGGAAACCGAAGAACCCGGAGGAAGTCCACGCACAACATGGAGAAACATACTAACTCCACAAACAAAACAACAAAAACCCCCCGTATCGCCTATATAGATTCTTGGGGCATGTACTGTTAGCGAGCAATCTTAACTTTGGAGCTTTCGTGACTGCAGGAATTATTCTTTGGTTCTTTCGGTAAAGTCACGTATAAAGAAAAAATAATAAATTAAATAATAACATACGACGTTTCGATTGCAACACAAGCAATCATCATCAGGTATAATGAAATAGCGACATAAAATCTAACCAGAAAAATTATAGACAGACATATAAGCAGACAGATATCACCAAGATACACACAGCGGGCAACACAGGTACAGAGAGGGGTGATCGTCTCTGTGGGGTGGCCTTAAATAGACAGAGGGGGGCGGAGGCAGCGAGAGGGAGGGGTTAGAGACAAAATTTACATGTCAATGAGTACAACAAAAAGGAGTGAGCAGGCTTAGGGGGGGAAAGAGACACACTAAAATTAAATAACCTAGCAAAGTATCGAAATGTTATGTAAAACGACACAGAGAGTCGGTCAACACACAATTAACACATAGCCTGGTCGATTACGTATTTCAAAGATTGCTAAGTTAGAATTTAAGTGTGAAAATTTCAAAGAAAGACAAAACATAAAAACAAGAGGAACGGAGACAAAGCAGAACCTAAGAACGACAAAAAACGAGTGTAGACAGAAAAATTTACACTAAATAAACAGGCAGAGAGAGAGAATAAAAACCCAGAGAGAGAGAAAAAAGGTAAACTTGGAACTTCCCCGTAGAAGTGGTTCAATCTTAACTTTGGAGCTTTCGTGACTGCAGGAATTATTCTTTGGTTCTTTCGGTAAAGTCACGTATAAAGAAAAAATAATAAATTAAATAATAACATACGACGTTTCGATTGCAACACAAGCAATCATCATCAGGTGATATCTGTCTGCTTATATGTCTGTCTATAATTTTTTCTGGTTAGATTTTATGTCGCTATTTCATTATACCTGATGATGATTGCTTGTGTTGCAATCGAAACGTCGTATGTTATTATTTAATTTATTATTTTTTCTTTATACGTGACTTTACCGAAAGAACCAAAGAATAATTCCTGCAGTCACGAAAGCTCCAAAGTTAAGATTGAACCACTTCTACGGGGAAGTTCCAAGTTTACCTTTTTTCTCTCTCTCTGGGTTTTTATTCTCTCTCTCTGCCTGTTCATTTAGTGTAAAATTTTCTGTCTACACTCGTTTTTTGTCGTTCTTAGGTTCTGCTTTGTCTCCGTTCCTCTTGTTTTTATGTTTTGTCTTTCTTTGAAATTTTCACACTTAAATTCTAACTTAGCAATCTTTGAAATACGTAATCGACCAGGCTATGTGTTAATTGTGTGTTGACCGACTCTCTGTGTCGTTTTACATAACATTTCGATACTTTGCTAGGTTATTTAATTTTAGTGTGTCTCTTTCCCCCCCTAAGCCTGCTCACTCCTTTTTGTTGTACTCATTGACATGTAAATTTTGTCTCTAACCCCTCCCTCTCGCTGCCTCTGCCCTCCTCTGTCTATTTAAGGCCACCCCACAGAGACGATCACCCCTCTCTGTACCTGTGTTGCCCGCTGTGTGTATCTTGGTGATATCTGTCTGCTTATATGTCTGTCTATAATTTTTTCTGGTTAGATTTTATGTCGCTATTTCATTATACCTGATGATGATTGCTTGTGTTGCAATCGAAACGTCGTATGTTATTATTTAATTTATTATTTTTTCTTTATACGTGACTTTACCGAAAGAACCAAATAATGTTAGCGAGCACCTATGAAGTCTGGCACGGCACACGAGGTGGTGGGTTCCCAGCACCACCCCCGGCCCAGCCACCTTTGTCTCCCGAGTGGCGATGTCTACATATCGCACCAGGTACTCACTTTAGGCTGAGTCGACCGAGGGGGGGCCCAGGAATGGTTCAGGTAAACGTTACTGGTGTTTTGGTGGTGGCCGTAAGCGGGAATCGAACTCGGGTATCTGCAGGATTCGTAGCACAGCGTGCTAACCGCTAACCACTACTCTACTGCTCCCAACACTATACACACAAAGACAAAGATCCCCCGTGTAGCCTTAACAGACTATAGGGGCAAGTGCTGTTAGCGAGCACCTATGAAGGCCGGCACGGCACACGAGGGGGTGGGTGGCCAACACCACGTCCGGCCGCCTTTGTCTTTGTAGTGGCGATGTTTACACATCGTACCAGGTACTCATTTGCGGCTGAGTCGACATAGGGGAGGCCCAGGCCCGGCTCCAATAATCGTCACTGGTATTGGCTGTGAATCGAAATCGGGTCGCCGGATTCGTAGCGCATGGCGCTAACCGCTGCACACAAGCACTCACTGAAAAATGTGGAGATGCAGGTGTGCGTGGAGGAGTCGTCCTCTTAAAATAAAGAGTTTTTAATTTATCCTATAAAGCCCAGAGAACTATGACCTCTTTATCAGAAGCGAGCTAGCCACAAATGATAGCTCAACGACGTGGCTTATAATGCTTGAGTATACCCCCCCTGCCTCCTTGACAGTAAAGGTCAGGTTACAGAGGGGGCCCCTCTCACTCTGGGTGCCACCCCGCCACTCACGACTCTGAGCCCCTGTGACACGCCCCCCAGTGTCGACTCTTAAAGGCACCTGGCTGGAGAGGTGGAGGAGAAGGCGGAGTTGCGGTGATCCGCTTGAACCTGGAACCGGGGTGGTCAGCCACCTGTTCCCCGAAAACTGATAACATCGTCATGAGCAACATTGTCATCAGTAGCATTAGCAGCAAAAAAATAATCAGCAGTAACACCATCACCAACATTGTCATATTCAGAAGCAATAGTCATAACCAGCAACAATCATGAGCAAGAGCATCACTTTTAACAAAATATGATCAGCAACATCATCAGCAGCAGAATTAACATCACCACTACCTTTTCCACCATCACCACCATTACCATCATTACCACCATCATCACCACCACCACTAAAGACAAAGATCCCCCCTATAGCCTTAACAGACTGTTGGGGCAAGTGCTATTAGCGAGCACCTATGAGAGCCGGCACGACACACGAGGGGGTGGGTAGCCAGCACCACGCTCGGCCGCCTTTGTGTTTACACACCGCACGAGATACTCATTTGAGGCAGAGTCGACCTTGGACCGGTTCAGATAATTGTCACTGGTGTTCGCCGTGAGCGGGAATTGAACTTGGGTCGCCGGGTTCGTAGCGCAGCTACACTCCCCCTCACCCCCATCATCGCTATTACCGCCACCACCAACCGCCGCCGCCGCCATCGATCACCACCATCGCCCTGCTCTTACCGCACGCGAGGAAGGAGATGCCTCTCATGGCCGTTCGACTCAGAGACTCCTCGTGGAAGCCTCACCTCACCCGGATCGCACCGCTCACCTCCACAACCCCTCCCCTCACGCCGCTGTATCTTATTCAGAGTCTCACACCTGGACCAGATCTCCAGCCTCACCTGTCCCCTCGCCCCCTGCTCTGCCCGCCCATGTTGGGAGCAAACTGGAGTCAAACCTGACCCAAGCAGAGACAAACATCCCCCGTGTAGCCTTTAACGAGCTGTCCGGGCAAGAGCTGTTAGCGAGCATCGCCTATGAAGGCAAGTATAGCACACGAGGGGGTGGGTGGCCAGCACCACGCCCAGCCCCCTTTGTCTTCCGAGTGGCGATGTTTATACACACCTACACATGTACAGTACAGTATTCATATGCACATGAACATTTCTGGAATTATCCGATTATTTCAGAACGCAAGCGACCTGTCATGTTGGAATGTAAACCACGACTAAAGCAGCCAAACCAGTCATGCTTTGGAAACGCCATGTTTTTATTTATTTAACTTAAGTTATATTGAGAATGCATCCCAGAGAAGACAGAACGTTTGTAACAGATAGAAGAAAGACGGCTGCGAAAAAAATGTCCGAGTTGGGATATTTGGCCAACTCCAATGAGTAAGTATTACACGTGTAGTGACATCGCGGATGTCACTGTATGGTGCCGGCCCTAGAGGGGCATGGCGTGCGATGTACTCACATCGCGGACATCACGTATGCAGCAGCATCGTGCATGTCACCAAGTATTGCCGGCTCTTCCAAGGCACGGCGTGCGATGCACCGTCATCACGGAAACCCCGTAGGTGGGTCTCGTACCAGCATAGTGAGGGCTTGGTGAGCGCTGGGATAGTGCAGTGGCACCATGCGTGTCGTGCAATGTGGACTCCCACCGGAGGGAGTGGGAGAGTGTCAGCCCAGGGACAGGGTTACCCTGGGCCATGGCACTCTGCTTGGCCCCGAAAGCACGTGACTGGTAAAATCTACAAGGGGGGCCCCAGCTGGGGGCTAAGGGGTGGTCACGTGTCCGGGAAAGTTGTCTCAAGAAGTGTCGAGAGGGAGCCAGAGCTTTCTCGGAGGTGGGCGGGGTCAAGGGCGGAGCCGGCCCTGACCCGGGAGTATATAAGCCGTTTCCCGCAGGGACCGGGGTTGGTTGTTGCTACCGTCATCTGAAGATCTACATTCTAGTCCAGGAGACGTGGTCCAGAACCCGAGCCAGGGTCCGGTCCGTTGTAGCTAACTCCCAGTGTGTTAGTGTAGTTAGCCGGGTGGTCCACCACCATAGGATGTTTTCTGGTAAAGGGACAGCTACCCCTTTGTGTATTCGTTTTGGTGTAATAAATGTGTTGCCTCTAAGAAGTACGTCTGCGACTCAGTTGGGCCCACTACACACGTATGAGAGGAAACCGGAGTAGCCCGGAAAAAACCCACGAGCCGCGGTAACGAGATGGTATCTCCCTTGCCTTTGTATGCAGGAGTGTGTGGGTTCGACCCCGACTCTGACGATGCCTGTATATTTGGAACCTGCGTGTTCTCTTTCCCTGTGGTTGCATGTATTTTCTGTGGATCCTCATGTTTCCCCTTCCATATTTAGAATTAACATGCGTTCAGAGTATTTGGTTTCTGCTATCGATTTCCACACGAGAAGCCACTTCATTAATTTGTTGCTTGGTCGCTTCTGAATAATAGCTCAGTAGGCTTTTCCTCGTAAAGTAAAACATTGTTTCTAGTTTTATAGAGTGGGTCAGCAGTAAATATTTGGACTGAAAATAGGAGAATGGTTCTCAACAACAATATGTATGAGACAGGGAGATCCACTATCACCAAATGTTGTTTGCAAGGAAGGACATTGAAAAAGAAGTAATAATTGAATGCAGCAACATTGTAAATGTAAAGGAATTTGTATACTTGGGAAGTCTACTGACATGGGACGACTGCACGGAAGACATACGGGTGTAATGCGAGCAAGGATTGAGGGGGGCGGAGTCTGGGTCACGTGAGGAGAGGGAGGAGTTAGGGTCACGTGGGGGAGAGGATTTAGGGAGAGAACCGGAAGAGATCGGGGAGAGAAGACGGAGTGGAAACGGGAGGAGGCCACGCTGGGCAGTACTGGGAGGGTGGCGCGATCGCCACGTGTTGGGAGACCTCGGCACCGTCGGCCATCGGTGTCCGGGCGCAGGGGGGCTAGCGGGCTGTGGAAGGCTGGCCGTGAGTGAGGCAGAGCGGAGCAGCAGTGTGGCTGCAGAGCGGAGCAGTAGTGTGGCTGCAGAGCGGAGCAGCAGTGTGGCTGCAGTGTGGCTGCAGAGCGGAGCAGCAGTGTGGCTGCAGAGCGGAGCAGCAGTGTGGCTGCAGAGCGGAGCAGCAGTGTGGCTGCAGAGCGGAGCAGCAGTGTGGCTGCAGAGCGGAGCAGCAGGGTGGCTGCAGGCGGAGCAGCAGTGTGGCTGCGGAGTGCTCGACGGAGGAGATGCGGGCCTGAGCGAGGACGCCGTGGGAGCGAGATTTACACGAACCCAAATAAAGGACAACGGAGATCGACACTGTGAAAGAGTCCCTTATTACACTGGTGTCAGAAGTGAAACGGCATGTCAAACAGCTCAGAAGAAAGAACGTCCCTGCACCATCTTCTGCAACATCTTTTGAAGACGACCTCCCTCCAGCGGTGGCGCTACCGACGATGGAGGGGGCAAGCGACGCAGGGACGAGCGACGGTCCGGGGGTGCAGGACATTGCTGCTTCGGTGGGTCCATCCACGCAAGTGGACGCCAACGAAGGATGGCGACAGGTGGCGGCCCAACTGGAGGCACTGAAAGCGGTGTTGGCGCAGCTGTGCGACCTCGTGACGCCGGCGACGACTTCGGAGAGGCCCAGCGGGGCCTTGCCGACGCCGTCAGCCCTCTCCACCACGCGGCACGAAGCCGCCATCTTGGGCGTGGCCGAGGAGGAACGGCGGGAAGCCGCCATCTTACGCCCTCCACCGCGGGGAGCCGCCATCTTTAACACGTTGCGGAGTGACGCCATCTTGTCGCTGCCGCACGAGTCACCATCAACGGAGGACGGCGGAGCAATGACCCGCAGCCGTCATCTAACAACTGTTAAAGAGTTCTCCATTGGCGGAGATTGGAGCGCGTTCGCCTGCCATTTTCAAGCGGCTGTACGATCCGCCAAATGGACGGACGCGGAGGCCCTGGAAGTCCTGCCAACACTTCTCGACGACGAGAAGTGTTGGCAGGACGCTACAGGGGGTCTTTGAGGAAATAGCGGACGCGTATAAGCCTCCGGACGATGCTCATCGCAGATTCGTACAGCAGCAACGGGCGCCGGAAGAATCGCCGGTGGCATTCCGAGGCGCCGTTCTGGAACTAGCTATGGCTGCGTATCCTGAAACGGAGCCTGATTTGTTGGAACCCCTCATATTGGGCAAGATGCTGGAGTTATCTAGGGACTTGGGCATTCCCATGCTGGTGTGCGGCCATGATAAGTTGACGTCCCGTGTTGCGGCTAAGTGCTTGGATGCCCAATTTAACCTTCGACGGTGGAAACAGGTGTCGGCTTGGATGGGGGGCCCCATCGTCGAAGGCGGTGCTACAGGGTGGGACCCCAAGAAGGCTGTCTATGTTCCTGACGATAGGGGTCCGCAGGAGTTGACAGCCGCGTCCGCCCAGTGGCCTGCTCGAGGGGGAGCGGGGGTGCGCTCCGGGCCGCCGACGCGGGAGCGTCGGGACAGAGGGGGTGCTGCGCGCCGAAACGACTTGGAGTGTTTCCACTGCGGCCGTAAGGGCCACTTCGCCAGGGATTGTTGGGCTCGCATCCCGGGGCCGCCCCAGCAGGAAGCCTCTGCCACGGACGTGACGCGAAAGGACCATCCAGGACAGGCAAGTCGGTGCGCATCAGACACCCGGCAAGGCCTGTCACCTCATGCATCACCATCGCCGCGCGGTCCGTGTGTCATTAACAACGGGGGGCCGCCGATCGACCCGTGTCGCTTGCTGACGCAGTGGCGGAAATTGGCACGGAGGGTGGTTGTGGCCGCTACTGGGTCGTCCACTGTGCCTGGTTCTATTCAGGGGGTCGAGGTGTGCATTTTGGTGGACCATTATCTCAGATGTAATTTTTCATCTCTTAGGTATTCCGCCGGGAAGGGTGCGACCGGTTTATGACTCTTGCATAGCGGTGAACGGGGGAAGTATGGGCATTGTGGGCCAGGTGGACGCCAACATATCGATTGGGGGGGTGTCGGCTTCAGGGACCGTTTTGATTTCCAGGTCCCTCGCGGTGCCCTGTTTGTTGGGGACCGATTTCCTGGCAAAAATGCCCATTCAAATAAGGGTGAATCAAAATTGCATTGAATTGCCAGGGGGTCGGAAAATTTCGTTCTTGCCGTCGCCCTGGGGCAACTCTGCCCCTGTCTGCCAGGTGCAGGCGCTGTCCGAGGCATCTGTTGATATTCCACCTGGTTCGCAGATGTGCTCCGTTGAAGTATCGGAAACCGGTGCCTGGCATTGAGGGAGCGGTGGGTGTTTTGTTATCGCCGTCCACGGCTATAATGGGCGGCTCGGCGCTGGTCGGGGCACAGACGATTGTCCGGCTGGGTCAGCCTCCGTTTTTACAAGTGCTGAATAGGAGTGCGGATAATGTTAGCGTACCGGCCGGAACGGTTTTGGCTCACGCAACGACTGCTTTCACGGCCCATGACGACCCGGGCCGCCGGGACCTGGTAGGGGGGGTTTCGGCCCCCACGGGGCAGGATGATCGGTGGGTTGCCGAGTTGTGCAGGGAAAACTCATCCCTGACTGGGGAACAACGGTCCGCGCTTCGCGCGCTCTTGCTAAGCTATTCCGACGTTTTCAGCTCGGATGATTTTGATTTGGGACGCACCTCCTTGCTCTCCCACCACATTGATATGGGGGATGCCGCTCCGATTCGGATGAACCCGCATCGGTTGAGCCCGGCGGAGCGGGATCATGTTCGCGGCGCAGTGGAGGATATGCTGGCTGCTGACATAATATCCCCGTCTAACAGTCCGTGGGGCGTGCCGGTGGTCCTTGTGAAGAAAAAGGATGGGAAATTGCGGTTTTGTGTCGATTTTCGCAAATTAAACAAAGTGTCCGTGGCAGACGCGTACCCCCTGCCGCGTATGGATGATTCCCTCGATGCCTTGTCCGGGGCGAAATTTTTTTCGATGCTTAATCTCTCCTTGGGATTCTGGCAGCTTCCCCTGGATGAGTCCTCGAGGGAAAAG